TGATGAGTGGTGTATGATGAGTGGTGTATGATGAGTGGTGTATGATGAGTGGTGTATGATGAGTGGTGTATGAACAGTGGTGTATGATGAGTGGTGTATGATGAGTGATGTAAATGTTAGTAACACGGAAGTTCCTTCTAAACTTCCTTTGATAATATGATTATATATATTTCCGCCTGTGTATATGATACAACTCATGGAGACCTGTCAGCTTCGCTTGCCTGCTTGACGCCATTGGTGGTGCTTGCGCTTTTTGGCTTGTTGGCGATGCTCAAGGCTGTCTGCAAGGCAACAAACAGTTGGATTGTTCTGTTGGATCCAACAAAAAAGTCAAGTTGCATCCTCTCCCATCAAGCATCCATCAAACTTTCTTCAGATAAACATTGTACGTAGCACCACAAACACAAACAAGCATGATCCTACATGATCGTACGTCGTACCTTGTCCTAACCATCTAACATCATACGCGCACACACACACAAGTATCAAACTTCAACGAACAAATCTTTGTCTGAAATTCAGTAGGGCGAGTTGCTACACTGGTTGGCTTGGTCCGGGCCGCCATCAGACCTGAAATTGCCAAAGGACTTCCATGGTCTTCCGATGCCTTTCTTTTCAAAGCAACACAGCATGTCGCGGTCCCGCTACCTGCTCAAGCTTTTTAGTTAGTGAAGCATAGCCACTGGTCTCAGTCTTCAACTTGCCGCCCGCTTGACCATCAAACTGGTCAAATGCAGATCGGGGTTGAATGTTTGGGCCCTGACTCCCACCCTCAAAGACCTTGCTTGGAGCTTTGCTTCCTGGCCGCGATCGCGAGTTTCCTCGCTTGCAGATTCCGTTGTCCAAGATATAGCATCCTAAGAATACAAATACAGAACATAACTGAGTGAAGTTACTGAATAGATCAAGAGGACCATCTGTACGACTGTTGAAACGCTCAGAACCCCCCCCGATGCAATCGATTGTGATAACACGACTCGTGCAGACTTGACTTCGGCTCCTATAAAAGACCTCGTGTGCACCTCAGCTGGAACATGCTTGATGCATCTTGATGCGAGGCTGACAGTGTCGGATTGTGTGGAATCTCGTGACGTAATTGGTGATTTTTTTGGATCTTATCGGGACAGGACATGAAGAATTGCGTCGAAGTCCTAAGAGCTTCGTTGACACTTCAAAAGCTACGGCTTTGCTATTGTTCCTTGAGAGGATTGCTAGCGTGTCTGAGCTCTGTCCTCCTTGGTGACCCTGCCCGGCTGGATGTCTCAACCCCTGTGTAGCCTGGTGATCCACCGGAGGCATGGCAGGACTGTGAAGTTCACAAAAAAAAAGTCTCCGAATCAACTGATCTGCTCAAGCAAATCATAACATGATTTGCTAGTAGTAAGGCAAGGAGTCCCTAGTAGCTTTTTGTTATTGTTCTTAGTAGCAAGGCCAGGAGTCCCTAGCAGCTTCTTGTTCCTAGTAGGAAGGCCAGGAGCCCCTAGTAGCTTTGTGAGTTCTGAATGTGCAGGTATAATCATTGTTATCGTTTATTTTACTCTTATCGTTTTCTGGGGTAGGAATGCATTACAGTAGTAGTGTTAAGGTGCATGCCAATACTAAACCGCTGAGCACGGGGTTATTACAACAACCCATATGGATTTCAACTTTGCCAGTGGCCTTTCAGCTTTGCAGCTTAGATACTTAGTCCAGTTCTCAGTAGATGTCAGTGGTCCTTACATTCAAACTAATCAGAAGGCAATGGCCTCTGAAAAGCATGCTGTGATGACAGCTGCCAACGAAGTAACAAAGTTACTGCAGGGTTGTTGAATTCCTACAAACATCCAAGGAATGCGTGATGACACCTCACAACAAACATTCTAGAAAGTGATCCTCAGGGACATGTCTCAAAATAAGACTCAGCACCTGTAATTACCCCCAAAGAGCACATAATCACTGACAATTAAGTTTAAAGCTCGCCTAAACCATTATATTATATCTTCAATATTGTTCTCAAGTTGTTCTCAGCTTGTTAAACAAGCCGATCGAATGGTCCGTTCCCCTGAGATGAGCTCAGTGAAGCGGGAGGGTCAAACGTTCCCCCGATGATATGGAATATCTTGGCAACTACACTACTTTTGATGGGAGGCACCCTAAAGAACGGGAAGGAGCAATCGGAAGCTTCATTTTTGTAAGGTTTAAGGGTCACATGGAAAACTGTTTTCTGATCTTTTTTTCTCTCTTATGCAATGTCGCTGCGGTAGCAGGTGAAGCACAGAGATGCCTCCCATGTGGAAGTCGGAAGGTGATTATATAGGTCATGTGTGTTGAACAAAAGGACTCTTCGGGTTTAGAGGTTTTCAGAGGTTTTTCTTTGGTATGAGTTCAAACCACGGAAACAATGCCATTTGTCTGGTTCAGAATTTGTACCGATAATTATGGCCACCATCCGCAAACAAGGAACAACAGGGTTCGTTGAGTATTTTGGAGCCATTTTTAACCAAAATGGACTTGTAGGACTTGAATGGCTTTGTACCTGGTCACAAAGTGGATCCAAGCGATCCGTTGCTTGAGGTTTAGCACCGTATTCTCCACACAAGCACATCAATTCACAATGTAAGAGATCATGGTGCTGCAGCGAGGCGGTACCTTCTGGCACGCTTTCCAGGAATTGCCCAAGGACCGCCAAAATCTGCCGGACAGAGCCCTCCTGAGGAACATTGGCAAGGAACTTCTCAACTCAAGGAAAACATTTCAACTTTGGCTGCTGTGAGTCGTACTGTACATTAATTTCTAAGAGATAAATGAAACTGAGGCACAACAATTCCAAAATGACCAAACAGTGTCGTACCATGTTTTACCTCTATCTTGCGTGGTCTGATTGGACTGGAGTTGCTGAGCTCTCCTTCCCGGTCACATAGACGGTATGATTGGGTTCCCTGCGCGATGGCTCATTCTAGGTGGACAACGCTGACTTCTTGCCGAACGTTCTTGCGATGATTGTGTATTATATATTTGCAAAATATAGATTATACACGGCTACAGGAAGCTCCAATCCTTAAATATTCCGTCTCAAGAAAAGTTCAAATCGAATGTATAGTCATAGGCAATGACACACTGCGCAGGACTGCGCAACATTGCGTAACTACGTAGTGCTGCAGTGCTTGTTGCCTGCTCTTGGCAAGAACCAACGGACATGTTCATACATTGCTTGGGACCTTTTCACTGCCCAATAGAATTCGTGCGACTTGAACGAAGGGCCAGCACATCACAAAAGGTTTTTACCGTTTTATATCACCAGCTATAGAAGCTATAGAAACTCTTCACTTCCTCGTCAATAGCATGGACCCTTGAGGCAAGAAGAACCCAGAGCCGCACCCATTTGGGACCCTCGACTTCAACCATACCAATGAATCCATTTGAGATGACTCCAATACACAAGCGCGCCTGAACTCCACATTTGTTTGCGAAGACTTTTGCGTCCAAATAGCTTTCTTCTGGCAACACGCTTCGAGCAGTGGCAGTGGGCAAGATGTGCTAGAACAAGTACTAGTGCTTGATCCTGAGTTGTTTGCCATGGCAAATAGGTTGAAACTTGACACGTGACGTCAAGAAAATGGAACAAGGCATTCGAGCAATGCAAGCTTGATGAGCAAACGCCAGCTATTCGAGTTCTATCCCTTGGGTGATTGTGGCTTTGCCCTGTTTGAGGAAGAAACGCGTCCGTAATCGCTGGTTCGCTTCCTCTGCAGGAAATGTCTGGAAATCTCCATGTTCATTCCCAAAGACCTGATCGCTCAGCGTCCGCTTGGAGCGGCACAAAGAGAGGGACGAGAGCTTCTTCTTGTTACTAGTAGCGATGCCCTTGCTACTAGTAGACAAAACAAATTAAAGAAGTATAAATACACAGTCCTTTATATACTCATACAAGTAACGACTCTACAGAAAAAATTTGGGCCTGCTTCATCTTCTCAACAAAATCCTGGCCACGTTCAAAGGCAATCAATTCCTTGTGCAAAAGTATAAAGCACAGGCCACAAGTCAGTTTGAAACGAAATGAAGTGTGGGCAATTCTCTGATCATTGATATGACTCAAACAAAACTAACCAAGTATGAACATGAAGTCATCCTCGACGGTGCCATCACGCATAATCCGCTGATGCGTCACCGACTTGTCCTGCAAAAAGCATGGTAGTTGCATCTGGCAAAAACTGAACTTGAGACTTGAGACTCCTCACAATTTAACAAATGAAGCATAATGGAATTCATCAAGTTTTGCAGCGCTCATCTGCTTGGCTCCTCTTGAGGCCTGCCTGAATTGCCTTGCGAGAGGATACGCAAAGCCATTCAGAAGTTCAGAAAGGATGACACTTCAAGCTTCAAGATTTGTATCAATTTGCTTCTAGACACATTGTGCCTAGACGAAGACAAGATATCTCTCGAGTCCGAGCCTAGACATTGTACGCAGGATAGGCCATAAGAGTAGCTACGACCTAGTTGCCAAAGGCTACGTTCCAACTCCCAAGGGGCAAAAAGGTTCGTTATGCAATTATCGTCTCAAGCCTATTTAAACCCCATCCCGCGTATGACGTAATCGTAGAGACAGCAGGACACTGTTTGACTTCCCCGCTTTGCGCCTCTCTGGGGCTTGTCTGTGGGGCTGCCGCCGATGGTCCGCATCTGGGTCGAGGGTCTCCAAGAAAAGAACTACCATTGGAGGGATAAGAGTCATTGGCTGTAGTAGGATCATTGGTCGTAAGCCTGCACTGAAAATCTGTGGCCCATGGAAGTGCTGATGCGTCACCGTTGATCTTTTCACTTTAGTTATCCGCTGTACTGCTCCTACCACAGCATCACGATGACCCACAAAAAGGAAGGGAAGCTCGCATGGGCCCGCATGGGAACCCCATTGCATGACAAGCAATAAAGGTGGCAAATGGTTGGGACTTAAGTTCTGGCCCAGTAGATCAAACATGTCGAAACCATAAAGCAAAATAAACATCCTCTTCCTAAACCAGCTATCCCATACAAGTGAGATTGATGTCAACCCAACAAGTTCGACAAGGAAAAGTCTACCAACCTGGACAATTTCAAACGCTGGGCCAAGCTCTTCAAATAGACACCATCCCAGCTAATGTGCTCTAGTTGATGTATAAAATTAAAAACCCTTGAACACCCACGGTGAAAGCACCAAGGGCAACGATTGTATAACACTGGTGAGATGAACACCTTGCACCAACGGCAACGATTATGTAACACTGCTGAGATGAACTAGAGGAGGGCTGGGGTTTAAGTCACGTAGCATGTGCACAACTATACACTATATAATCTATAACATAACTATATAATTTTATATAGTTCAAGGCCATATTGTAGCAAGTGTTTGCAGTGTGAGATTGAAGAATCTGATCCAATACCAAAGAAAGCCATCTCCTCAAATAGGGCAGCTAAGGCACATGAACTTTTATGCCATTTCGGCCTGCGGCAGCACCATTGAAATTACTGAAGCCGCCACCGAAGTCCGCCCTTGGCAAAAAGGACCAGAACGGTGACACCCTGCAAACTGTGAAGCACCACATAGGTTTTCTTACATCATCAGCAACCATGCAGACTAAAGGATCCTTTGTTCAAAACAACACACGAGAATCTAGAAACCCTTTCCAAGGGTTGAATCATTCTTCTCGCGGCGATCAAACGGACAGGGCGGCTGCACCTTATGCATTTGTTTTCATACGCCGTTTCTTGTCTCATACCACGTCCAGTGCAAGTTTCGGCAGTTGCTCATTGTGTAGGTAATGGTCTTGCGGCAGGAGGATCGTTTGCCCAGAAACTTTGTTGCAACCTTGTGCAACCTTGCAGTCATCCACAGACTGGTTGTTGAAGAACCTCCTCTCTGACCATATTACCACGGAACAAACATGCGATCGTGTCAACCCTGAAGGATTCACTGGCCTTAATTTCAGTCGACAAAAAGGACTCAAGCTTCTGCCAAAGTGGCCCAGTGACAGACTGGCGCGCTGTATGCCTTAAACTGGCGTATCAGCGAGGTTCAGGTAAACTGTCACGCAACTGGTGTTTGCTATGGTGAGCAAGTCTCCCTGATCATCCTCCCTCCCTTATTCCACAAGATTTTCCATAAACATCCATAAACATCATCCCAGAATGAGTACCTGACAAGATAGCGACACAACTTCACTCAACACTGAGCGCATCTGCACACCAAAATAACTGTCATAATATAAAGATTCATTGGAAGAATTGCTAGTGTTCCGGTAAGAAGGTCCTGTTTGCAACATCCTGCAACCCGTCGAACGATGCTAGGCTCCGAACCCCTTGGGTGGCTCCCACTCGGTGACCTCAGTACCTTAGAGCACGTATCTTCGAATATTAAACCTTCAGTGGAGGCCATCGCAATTAATTAGGTTGGATGCCATCGCAGTAGGTTGAAGGCCATCGCTACTAGGTTGGAGGCCATCGCTCTTAAGAGGCGGTTCGCGTGCGTTGTTCTGCTAAGGGGTACCCGTTCTCCCGCGCAAAGAAAAAATAAAAAGATACAAAAAGAAACGTTCTGATTTGTACCGTGTTCACTGCTTGTATGGTAAAAAACATAGGGCGACCGCCCAGGAAAAATTGTAAATAAAACATTTCGGTTTTATCGTTTTTACCGTGCATGTGGTAGAAAAAAGGGCAACCAACCTTTTCGGGAAAAAACAGTGTTATTTTTGACTTTTACTGTGTTTATCGCGCGGGTGCCGCGAGGGAACCCCGTAGCCCGAGCAACACCACTGGGCCAGCACAGCGCTCTTATGATCCCTCAATGGTCAGCACTTGACACAATATTCAGGCTGGCCTCCTGGAATTGACGTCGCTGCCTCTTACTATATGGTAATCAAGCTCGCTTCTTTTTTTTATGGTTTAGGCTACTACCCGCTTCTACAGGCTTGTTGCCTCAAGGAAGTGACTTTGCTACAACTTGCTCCTTCGATACAATTAAGAACAATGCATTTTAAAGCATTTGACATCTATGCACGACAGCGTGTGTGAGCTGTCAGGCCCGGACCGCCAGGTTGCCTGGTGAAGTGACAAACTCCGATTCGACCAGTGCTCGAACCCACTCCACCCATCCGATTGGCGCGTTGATGCGCGTTGTGTACTGAACTGTGAAGGTCGCACTCCAAAGTGGGGTATTCTGAAGGTCGGTCCCCATTGTTTGGATTTCGCGCTAATGCCTGCCACACGCAACACTACCTTGACTTGCTGGATTTTTTCCGGGCATTTTGCAGCATGATGTGTTTTTGTGCGTGCAGTAACAATAAGGGATATTTGTGAAAGTGTGTTTACGGACTATGTGACACAACCCAAGAGCAGGATGCAATCCAGGATCCCTTTGCATACCCGTCAGCCTTCTACAAAGAAGCCTTTGAGTCTCAAAAAATATATATATATATAACTATATATATATATTGTATACATCTGCAAAAATCTATAGCAAAACGAGACATGCAGCACACTCCAAACATATCAAAAGGACACAAAAGGAAAAAGTGCCTGATAGCGGTAAGGGACGGCCATTGCCAACCTCAGGAAAACAAGACGCTTGAAAATGCTGACAGGAGAGAACTCCAACCTACTAGCGATGGCCTCCAACCTAGTAGCGATGGCCTCCACCCGAGTAAGGTAAGCTGAGTCCTCAAATCTTCAGGAAGTGGATTGAAGGCCAAAAGTCCTCCCCTCAGGCTCGAACTTGGCAAACCATCAATGCCCAAAGGCTTGATGTCCGCCTTAAACATTCACGATGGAAAGGGGCTACAAGGTGTTGTCCAATTGTTTAAACGTCCTCAAGAAAGCTTTGAAGCAAATATCCTTGGCAACAACACCGGCAACTTGGGTTCAGTGAGCCCCCGCTTCACAAGCAGGCACGTTGCTCGATTTGACTCTGACTATCTGACTGTGGGCGTATGCAAAGTGCTGTGCTGTCTTCTGTCCATTCAATAATCAATACACAGCTGTACAGCTCTCTGAGATGCCCTCCAACTTGCCGTTCTCATGTTCGAGCCTGGCACCAAAAGAACATTGCCGTTCTCTGGTACCATTAGCTCAAACCACCGTGCCAAGGCTTTGAAGCTCGCCGTTTACTTGCCTTTAGAATCTACTCCTAAAGGCTTGTGCTGAAGAAATTCTGGTGAGTCCTTCTCGACAAATTCTTGACCAAGTTGCTCATAGATGTGCAATGGCTTAAAGGGTCGCTCCTCTGGCCTGAAAGGGACTTCAAAACAATCAAACTTCAACACTTCTTCGATCTAGCATGACCTAGCAATACCTAGCAATGCTAATTAGCAAATACCAACTGAGTTTTATTGATTTTTGACTATTTTTGAAGATGGACCAACCATGTCGTGATCAATCGTCTTCAAAGCGTTGGGTTCACTGGTTCACTTCACAAATCCGGCCGGGGCACTTCATCAAAGGAGGCTTGCTCACCGAGTCATTGAAGATCATGCGTATTGGATCGTTCCTCAGAACTGCAAGCTGGCGTCTCCGAGGGGCACAGGTTCAATGTTCAAAAGAAGACACATGAATCCAAATCAATAATAAAGCACAAAGCGAAAGGGACAAAGATGAACAAAGAGCAAAGAACTTGTTCAATCTTCGGTTCCTGAGCTTCCAGGCTTGAGGAAAATTCCTTCCTGAAAACAAGCTTTCCATTCATTTACCTCGCTGCAGGAACATCAAAGGAAGTCATTTTCCAAAACTATTGACATGCATTTGCAGCATCTGCAAATGCAATTGCCCACACTACTTGCACATGAGGTGCAGAAACACTTACACAACCACCAAGAAAAATGCCCACAACTGCATCTTCACACGTCTCAAGCGGGCAACAGCTTCTAGATTCTAGAAGACAATCCAGAACTTCCTGAGAACTTCACGTGTTACTTGGAAATGCTACTTTATGCTACTTTCTGTTTCACAAAGGCAATGGGCAATTTCCAAGCCTTGTTGAGGGATGCTTAGAGTCTTGGAGAGATTTTCCTATAGTTTTGTGAAGATCTTGGTGACGTGGTGTGCGCTTCAAGGCCTGAAGGCTTGTAAACTCATACATTCGCGACTGTGCTTCATCAGAAGCACTGACAGCCAAAGTTGGCTAGGGTGCTGTAGAAGAAGGTGCCGTAAGACAGTCAAATTGGTGAGGCAAGGTGGAACAAACAAGGAGAGGAAATAGGAAATTCATCAATGTCATGTTTCCCGATTATACAGTCAAATACAGTCCATCCATTAAAATTTCTACTTACAATTTAGGTCTCGAGTGCGACTTCGGCTGTAGCCTACTATCCGCTCTATCGTCAATCCCAGCCGCCCCCTACCAAGTCACTTCGCTGTCCTTTTTTGCGGTCTTTGCCAAGTCCATCACTTCCTGTCAATTGAGTCAATTTGCGTCACTTTGCTGACACCAACTGACTCTGATCGAGGGACAGTTTGGGGCAATGTAAAGACGACCTCTGCCCCAGTTGTGTGAGTTGTGAAGCTTGAGCATTCAATAATTCATTCAAGCGATTGCTGTCAATTTCTGCAATAAGAAATACAAAAACACTCACACGATATCACTTTGATAAGGCTCGTGAACCACACTGTGGGCCGCCTGACAAACAGCCCTCTGCAAAATAGTATGCGCACACAGCAAGCTTCCCCTACAACCTAGCACGCCTGAGTCTTGGTCCTAACACAATATGCATTCAACAACTACTATGACTCTAAAGGAACAACCACATGTCCTAAACAAAGCGTGGGTTATATCATGCCTGCCAGCAGGCACCGTCATCCCAGCCATCGAAAGTGGCGAAAGCAACTAGCTTGGCCACAGGAACCAATCCGAGTCACCCAGTCATGATCAGCGTCTCCGGGTTTCCACCAAATACAACCAAGCATCTGGGCAGTCGCTGTTGCACATCTTGGACCTCAAAGTTTGGAACCACCCGCAACTCCTTGTTGCTGCTGTGCAAGCTAGGGTGCAATGTGAATATGCCTAGCAAAGAGAAAAAGCAAAACAATATATATATATATATATTTACAAACAGAAACTCTGAGAAGCTCGACTGTGGTCAACATGCAAGCAAATGTCACTAGATCCAAAATACAAATGTCTACGATATGATGCATGATTAATATCCATGAAAATGACATACCGCCACAGTACAGCGGATAAGCCTTGAGGACTCTGCCCAAGCAACCCATTTCAGCACCACGTGTCAGGATGGTGCGAGGCTTCCAAGAAGTGATCCCCAAAAGCACTGAACCGGTTCTTTCAACAAATGCAAAGAGCAACTGTACGAAGAGATAGAATACTCTTCATGCTCAAGTATAACACAACGCAACAAAAGGGCTGAAGACCACACATGTCTACAGATCGACTGATGAAGTATTTTGCTGCTACCGTGTATCTGAAGAGCCTGAGGACCAGATAGCTGTGATTGAGAGCCCCAACACTAGGATGTCGTTGACGCTCAATGCCCGGCTCTTGTTGACAATGATGCCACCCCTGCAGGAGCAACAATTTGCAGCAAGTCTTTGTAGCAATTTCTATTTAGCTAAACCTAATCTGATGAGGCTCAGGCCACACTAATCTGATGACAGTCTCCCTCTTCCCGTGATCGCCTGAGGAGACTGGAATTGGATCAATCAAATTCAGGCAGGGCACTGTCTGCGTCAAAACACGAAAACTCCGACTTCAGAGTTGCCTTAATACAATCCGATTTCGGAAGCAACCCTGATTACCCTGATGTGGTTTGTTCAGGGCAAGTAGCTATCAAACATCAGTTACATTGCATATACTGTAACATACTGTAACTATATTAACTACTATATTGTACTACAATTGACCTTAACTCTCTCCAAAAAAAATCTAAATCGGAAAGCCAGCTTAAGTCTTGACACCTGCATCAAGCTGTTGCAACAGTAACAGAATGACCCTTGCTGTGGCCGCGAGTCCGCAACCCTTTTCTGTTCGAGTCTGCCATTCAACGCCAGGAATGCTCGTTCTTGTGAACTGCAAGCCCAGTATCTGCCATGAACTGCAACTCGGTTCGGAGCCAACATCAACAAGTCTGAAACATCGACAGTATGCAAAGCTAGCCAAACTACGAAAGAAAAGAACATACGATTGTGTTCTTGAAAAAGGACAAACTACATCAAACTACACTCTTAGCAGACATCTCCTGAAGTGATAATCCTGAAATACTAATTATCTCAGTGTTTTGTTTGAATACTTTTGCGAGTCGAAAGGCAAACGCTCTGCCTGCACTTGCACAATATAATGTACACATATAGTTGTATATATATATATAGGTGAGGCGCAAAGGCAACAAACACTTCCATCGCCTCCCATTCGAGATTGGTGCTTATGTTCAATGGTAGCACATCTTCAGTGAATGCCAAGGCTCTCCAATGAATGCAATGTCAGAAGCATTGTATCGCAACGCCTGCCAGTATGGCAACTTGGGAAGGCAAGAATCTTATAAGCAGCATCTTAGTGTCATAGTATGTCTTAGCGATCAATGACTCTCACTGAGGCAGTCGAAGTCCCTGAAGAGTACTGTGATGCTCATCTTGTCAAAGATTCTAACCAAAAGAATCTCCAGATCACATGCCAGTCAGTCAAGACATACTGTAAATAACATCAAAATACGAATATACCGTATTATGATGATTAATTAATCACCAGGCCGAGGGGCGCTCATCGAAAAGGGAGGTGGCCCTGTGCCTGCCGAAGTCTGGAAGTAAAGTGCGGAACTGCGACAATTTGACCTAGTAGCAAGAACGCTACTAGGGGCTCCTGACCTTACTACTAGGAGCAAGGACGCTTGAAGAACTTCAAAAGCACTGATCAAGATTCAATATACAAACAGAATCGAACACGCACATCGCATGGACAGAAAGGATAAGTTTATATACAGTAGTTTATAAAAAGAATGTCGTTCATTCTTTTGCAACAGCACCGTTCCTTCCAAGACGTTGCAGGAGCTCAGCTTTGTGCAGCCTCGTGCCATCACGGCGTCTTTGCGTGCGGCTTTTCCCGGATGCTACAAAACTCTGAAGTCTACCAACCCCGCTTCGCGAAGCCTACCAGGTCCTACAGTACAGTACCATGTGCATTACTTTTTGATAGAGTCATGAGACAAAGAGCAAGACCTCATGAGACTTTGTCACTTGGGCAGGCTCGCATCGCATCCACGGCGTACCAAGCAACGTTCGATGATCACCTTCACAGCGAAATCCAGAAACCAGGAGCCTCGAGCGCAACATGATGATCCCAACGCAACCCTGAATGAAACTGCATTTTCATCCGATTCACCCTAGAGAGTTCAATTTCTGGTTGACTGGTCGTTGACTCGTCCTCAGAATGAACTGTGTGACTTGTGTGGACCTCCCAAGCTATACAGGATTCGTCACACAGCCTTTGTCGCCGCTGAAAATGTGATTCCCGATGTTGGCACCACAAACCTGTGTCGCCGAGAGCTAGGAAGAATTGAGAAGTGTCCAAAGGCCAGCTGGACTTGCATACACAAACCCAGACGATTCCTGCAGTTGACAAACACTTGCAAACTTGAAAGACACCTGAGGGCAACAACACCTCCTCAAATTTCTTTGGTGGGACTTGGAAAAGGACAAGACAATATCTTTTTGGGCAAGAAGAGTACAGGGGCAGCTGCGCAGCTGAGTATCAGTATCTCCATGCCTTGTGGGTTACAAAAGGCCATCGCCACAATTCGCCCCCAACTTCATCAAAGCCACCTGAAGGGCAAAACTTGTTGCTTGAATGAAAGGTATGGAGGTCATGCTACTTGGGCACAAACTGCTCAGCTAGCCAGCAAGCTAGCTGTCGCGACATATGGACATATCAGCGTGTTGACATCAATCTATCATTGAAACGTACTTTGCACCACATTGCATTCCATGGGTATTCTCTAATTTAGCAATCATCAGGTCTTAGTAGAACTTGGTAAATCATTCATTATGTGTTTTATTGTTTCAAGTTTAGCCGGGTTGCGAGAAGAGACATGGTCCATGTCAATGTAAATCCCACCATACTTCAAAGGAGCCTGGACACAAAGCCAGAGTCCACGGTGATTGCATAGCTCATTTTTTGGTTGAACACTTGGGGGGGGAACGTATTGAAAAGTACACACATCTATCATAAAACCGTATTAAATCTAAAACTGTGCGAGCAAATTGGGAAGCACACATCTTAATCTCATCAAATTCTTATGTACTAAGAGGTCCCGTTGGGCTACCAAGCAAAGTACCATACCCAGGTCAGTCCCCGCGATCAATGAGGCAACAAAACAAAACAGTGCATACTTGAGGACATTGCAATGCATTTGTTTGTCCCACAACCTGTGTCACTAGATGTCACCAGTACTTCAAGTGGATTGAAACGGCATGTGTACGGCAACCTTTTAGCAAACTCCTCATGTAGTTCAGGCAAATCAAATATGTGTGCTGTGTGTTGCTCAGAGCAACACACAGCACACATATTAACTTCCAAGCCCTGTACTTAAATGGCAAGTTTATGGTATACTGTTCTGCCGGAATACACAAGCAAGGTGGCTGCTCCCTTCTGACTGGCCATTCACACTTGCAATATGGCGTCCACATCTGCTTTCTCTGGGTCAACATTGATTTACTCCAACATCCAATCACCGACCAAATCCCACCTCCAATCTGAAGAAGTGAGACTTTACGGCACAAATGCCTCCACGACTTGCAGACTCGATATGCTCAGTAATTATACCAAGGTGGTCAACATTGAACTTTAATCTTAGTTGAAAAGCTCATGGTGTCGGCATGCTCCGGAGAAAAGGCAGCCATTGAAAAGTGTGTCCGAATCAGTTTTCGATCATCTTGGTGCGCTTGCTCTGGTCTGGCATGTGCAACTTTATTGGTGAATTTCAGGTTGTGGTTGGGCTGGGGCTGCAGCTCACTAACTTGGTGTTCCATCCACTTGGTACAGGTTGCAAAAAGGGCGAACCAATTCCAGTTAATTACATCTAGTGACAAATGGAAGTGGTACGATTTGCTGAGATGCAGAGTTCCTTAACTTCTGCTGACTGCCAGATCAAATGTTCGCAGGTCAGCAACCACCCAAACATTGACAGGGCTTGACCTGTTTATATAGCTAGAATCTAGAAGCAAGTCTATTACTTGATCAATCAAATTGCCAAACGAACGCAGCAACTGGCTGCAACAAATTGTTGGGAAAAGGAACAACTAACTTGCAAGGTGCTTTGATCGCATGCACTTCTTGGCTGTGTCGAACAGCTGTGATGTCAAACCAGCACTTGCAGCAAAAACATGCAACAAGCTTCCTGTGTTTGCAGCTTCGTCTTAAGAGTGGCCTACCTGGATTCTTGTTGTCATTGTGAAACTTGTCCAGGTACTGGATCATTTCCCATGACTGAAAACTTTGTGCCTGAAGCTCGGGTTGCTTCTGCATGAGGCCCAAGCAAGAGTTTTGACAAATTCATAAACAGTGCTAGAAGCAACTAGCTGAGAGCTGCTGAGCAACTTCCACGGAAACACACTTTCAACTTAACTGCTGCAACATTGAGCAACACTGCAGAATATAACAGCATGTCTCATTGCATCAAATTACAGGAAAACTCGAGAAACATTTGACATTGTAATGCACGAAACAGCACGCTAGTGCTGCGCCAGCCTCAGAGTAAGCATCCTGAACAGGCGATGCTGTGAACGGCCAGCTCATATCTGGAGATTTGTCTTGGAGGAGATGAGATTGATGTGCTGCAACAGTACCAGTAGTTATGGCTCTAGAGAGGAAATCAACTTGTGCAATGTGAACTGTGTTTGTCGATAGATGATGCAACCATTCAATGCGATAGTTGAAAGCTCCAGTAGGCGAGCCCTTTCAAAGGGTGTACCAAGGGTCAGAAGAAGGGTGAAAACAAGAAGGCAAACGGATTGAATGCGCACATTCTTTCCTGCGCTCCCAACACCCTCTGAAATGAGCAATCAAAGTGCACTGCAAAGCTTGCAAAGGCCCACCCCGTCAGCTTCGACGATATTCCGCCTTCCTTCTCATGAACTGAGGACGATCTAAAGTAATGAGCTGTCCGCTATATTCTTCAAGCTGCTAAAATGAACATATGTGGGTGTAAATGAGTTGGAAAGAAACAACTTCTAGATCACGTACGGTCGTGCCTCTTTGCTTCAGGTCATCATCATTTAAGAGTGGCCCTGAATTTTACCTCTGCTGAAGTCCAACAGGCTACAATGTTGGCCAGACGAACACCACAATATATCTCACCTGAAGAAACGTTGTTCATTTCATTCCCCAAATCTGTCTGGCTCCAGCTGATTCCAAGCCGACTAATTGGGATAAGCTTGGGAGTCGGTGCTCAAGAGTTGATCACTTGAGAGCTTGGTCTTTGGTGTTGCTTTGACTCGACAGTCATTTAGTGAGCTAAAAGAACCAAAGGCGTTTTGCATAGACCTTGGAATGAAGGAACAACCTTCATACGATTTAGATTCTTGGATCTTTGTCCAGATTCCTTGAGAGCAACTTGACAACCCAGGACTTGTCCAACTGTAAAGAACACTCTATGACACGCCAGGCACGCCTTCACCTCGATAGGTAGTGTGTTCCTGGCGGTCTCCAGGATGCTGCGAGCACTCGCAGGAATCTCCTCACCAACTCGTGCCAACTAAAGTTGCAGGCCCATGAAACGCGGGATCACTCAAATTGTTAATGCGCATCAAACCACCTTCACTGACTTGTTCATCTTATATCATCTTATGAGAGTCCTAGCAATTGACCAAGGAGGTACGAGGAAACTGCAAAGCCACCACATTGGCCGCGTCCGTTCTGACCAATCAGAGCTAAGATGTGGCACGTCTGCTCCACCCCTCCAAGCTAAGTCTCCGTCCGAATCAGTCCAATAGAAAATCTGGAAATCTGGGTTGTTCTTGGCCTGATTTCTTGGCTAGAGACACTTGAACTATTCCGAGCGGCGCGAGACGAGGCAAGGGAACAAGGCACAGCAAGAACACAGAATGCGGATCCAATCGCAGACTCAATTCTCACAAAAAATACTCAAAATAAGGATGAAATAAGGATGGAACATGTCATATCAAAATTAATATGTGAGGTGAGCACAGTCGGAGCACTTTGTCTCAAGCTGCAGGAGAGTCACAAATCCCCGAACATGATCTGCCCTCCCGTCGGTCAGCGGCGAGCAAAGCCAAATGAAGTGCAGAATCTTTGGTACCTGAAGCAAAGCATAATATTCACTGCTCTTATCGGATAAGACTTGTACCCACAAACAGGCTGAACGAATCAATGACAAATGAACGGCTTTGCCCCGACGAGCAGCAGCATTTGGATGGAAACCAGTAGCCCGTACAGAACAAGTACAAATGCTAGGAAGTCAAGAAATGATGTCGTTAGTGCGCTTTCACAGAAGAGACATCAGTTCCAATAATGTCTCCAAAGATCCAAACACCATCCCTGTTGATGCCACCTGCACATCATTGCACCATGCGCCCAACTGAGCTACACTAAGTCTTCACCGAAGCCAAAGTCACTGGGTGAGAGCATCGCTTGGGCACCGCAAAATCACCTGCGCTCTGCCCCAGAGTCCACAAATCACTTTTCTGTTGAGGTGTGTTGAGGTACAGTACTCTATGGACACAAAAGGGCCACATTCCTCTAACCCATCTGATGATTTGCAACAAACACTGCTCTTATGTACTGGTCTTGCTATGCTTTGACAGTCAGGTGTCCATCTGATCTGACAGTTGGCGTGCCTTGTGGATTTAGCATCCCATTCCTCTGCATTGAGGCTTGTCAAACATCGAGTATGTCTCCCTACAATCTTCATAATTGTTCCACTCGAGTGTCCCAAACAAAAATGAATAAGCTGCGCTTCAGCACCTGACATTCACATCAGTCAGGCGGTGTATGGTAGGTGAAGAACGCACGGCAACTGGAGAGTTCTCAATAGCAGAATCTGTGCATTTTTTCAGACTTTCCAGATTCAATGGGTACTAGGTTGGAGGCCACCGCCAGGTTACCTTTAAAGAAACACCCGAATGACCTAAACGGCCCAAACCTGGTGTGGCCCACTCCCTTCCATCCTTGGATGACCAACCAGCTTCGCACGTGTCAGCAACGTCTCGGTGGATTCCTGGAGGCCCGTCGTTGGTCAAATCTGAAACTTCGTTGGAGTCTACAGCAATGTATACTATATGTAATATAATATAACATAATACAATACAATATACTTATAAACATATACTGTATATATATATACAATTGCAGTAATCTTCATATTGTGTATGTACAATATATTATCCAACAAGTCTCTCTGACAATCTTCTCGTGCGGCCCCAAAAGTCCAATCAACTCCACATCAAGCCTTTCCAATTCTGGCTCTTGAGCTCCCCAGCGAGGATTGGACGCCCAATCAAATCACTCTTCCACTGCTTGGCTGGACACTTTGCAGTCGTCCGATAGCCTGGGCAACTGAGGAAACGAGAGCGCTCCTCAAATATGTTGTTCTTTTTTCTTCTTTTTTTAAAAAGGGCTTTTTTTGCCGCATCGTCGTCTTTGGGATTGCTGATCTATCTGATCATCTGATCTTCATCCCTCAGCCCCCGGCTTGACTGCTTTCGGTTTTGGTTCAGAAAGGACACCTGTAACAAGTTCAAGCTGGAAAGGCCAGGAAGCCCAGCTTTCAGGTTCAAGGAGGCCTTCCTACTTAAGTAGGCGCCTACTTAATTAAGGGAGCAAGCTGCTAGGCAGAGTTAGCTTCTAGCTACGACACAGGATAGCCCGACTTTTAGGGACACTTAGCTTCCAATGTGAGGATCAGCTTGAAACCCGCCTCCATCCAGACTCCATCAGGGCCATACACCTGCCCATCGGCACTTCCGGATTGGGTCATACACTTACGTGAATTTGTGGAGTCTCAGGCCCTGTCCACTGGTTCTGGTAAAGGACGATGGTCAAGAAGGCAGGCCTGGACTTGCTTGGCTCTTGGGGATTAAGTGGTCAAAGAGAGCTCTAAAATCTCGGTATCTTGGTATGTTGCCTGACTTTGTAATCTAATTGCACTTACTATATTGTAATTGATGCTCAACCCCTGTTCTTTGCTGGGTCATTGCGTTTGGATTGTAGTCCCACTGCAGTTGTGGGTAGTGACAGGTAGCGAAGGGTAGTGAATGTGTAAGGTTTGGTGTTGTGTCAGTGAGTGTTGCTCCTCAGACCGTTAGGAGAAAACATGAACAGCAAGCAGCACAATTTGCACGTCAACATAATTCAAATACGTTGCAGTCGAACATCAACATGATGCATTTAGAAGCATTCATATGCATGTCTGTCTGCAGAAGTAGCGTTCCCCGACATCAATGCACTGCATACTGTAATTACGGACATGTAATTTCTTTTCAACCCTGCCAGCAACACAAACATGTGAATAGGAATAAGGCCGCTATTCAATGCTGATGCACCTCAACTGCCACTGTGCATGCTCTTGGTGGTTGCATCTTGCAGCCACCAAGACATTCTTGGCAGCACACCGATCAACCACATGAATGAGCCAAACCAATCAGTAAGTATCAGTATCAGTGGGAGTTATAGAGCTGTGCTGGTTTGTCAACGCTGCTTTCCCCGATAGCCTCCTCCGGGAGAAGTGCCTGAGCGTCGAGTTGGTCTTTTTCAGGTTATTTTGTTGATATCTCGACGGTCTCTACGTGAAAAAATAAGGTCTTCGTCCAAAAACAAGTTGCTGGCACTGGCGTTGGCTGCAGCGGCCGCATCGGCACAGGGACTGGCACAGGCACCGGCACCCGCACCGGCACCGACGCAGGTGCGGGTGCTGGCGCTGGTGCTGGTATCAGTGAAGGAGGCCGGGCGGCTGGTGAAGGACCAGTTTGCGGCACCTATCTGACAACAGGCTCATGGCGCCGCGTGACAGAGAAGAACATTTGAAAGGTGAGGTAAACGTCTCACTTCTCTGGGAAAAGGAACTCCGCAGTTCTCTGGGCACAGAACCGTGGCCAACCACTGCTTGTTTTGTGGAGGCAAATGAAAATTCAACTTCCTTGCTCGCTTCACTGTGGTCAAAAAACAAGAGACTGGCCTCAGTGGCGTGGGATGTGTCACCAGGAGCGTCCTTCGGTGGGATCGGTGGAAAGGGCGCTAGTTTCTTTCGTGACATGTCAAGAGTTTGTGTCACTATGGCTTTCTTTTAAGAAAACCGTTCAGGCCGGTGTCAATAATTTTTGCGGAAACCATCAAAAGTGATAAAACGCAAAAAAAAACACAACTTTCTGGCGTTTCATAGATCACCAAAAAGTGATAAAAACACAAAAAAAATGTGCTTTTGGTCATTTTCCAAGTTTTTCCGGAAAGTTGATGAAAAGTGAGTTTTCTCAGTTTTTGTCATTTTTTGATTTTTGCGGAAAGTTGATAAAATGTGCGTTTTTCTCGTTTTTTTGACCTTTTCGTAGACCCAAATGTTGTTTGAGTGTTGTTTTTGTTTTTTCACCAAGAAATTGAAAAGAGGGTCCGGATAGGGTTCGGCTTGCCCCCCTCCAAACAACAATTCAACATGCACACCCAGAAAAAGTGCGCGCAAACTCTTCAGAACCAAGGTTGCCTCCTCATCAAACCCACCTCAGTCACTTCTTTCGTTTGTTCCTAGTAGAGATTTTGCAGGGGAACCGGGATATGCAACACATCAGAGTGGGACCCAGGGAAAGGCCATCGACCAAGCCCACCAACCAGTCGATCAGCTGGGACGGCGGCAAGAATCAGAAGAGGAGTCTAAACCCCCGCCTGTGTCATCACTCATGACTCATTACATTTAAATTGCAATAAAAAAATATTGAAATTGAAACCACACCCCTGACAAAAACTCACCCGGAATTCACAACCTCTTCCACCCCAACTTCCCAACCATCCATGAGTCTTTTTTTGCACCCGGGAATCGACGATTGCAATCGTGCCGGCGACGGCTGCTCACTCGGAGGACGAAAAATATGCATCATTTTTTTTCTGTACTTTGCGCCCAACTGCTCTGTGGCTCGTTGCTGGCCGCTTCATTCCCATCTTGGCTTCGCCCTTGGCAAGCAGCCCATCAAATTCATGTGCAGGATCATTGGTGACCCTCGGGTGGCCGATCCACACAATGCTTGGCACTGTGAGCTTCAGTGCAGGAAGTGGCAGCGGCACGCTCGTTTGCTTCTTCAGGCCCTTCAGGCTTCCGCTGGCCAAGAGCACTGCAATGAATGCGGCTGCTGTTGGAACAGAAATGGTATTGCCAGCGATAGCGTTCAGTTCAGAATCCTGAGCTGAAATTTGCCAGCCCAATCACACAACAGAGACTTAGAGAAAATGTAAATTACGGTAAACTGTTGTCTGTGAAACTGACAACCGCCAACTACCAACTGTCAACCTGCACTTGCACCTAACATTTGGCAGCCGACAGGATTGAGACTGGGATTGCAAAAAAAAGTGTGGAAACTCAGGAAGAGCAACTGGAACATATACCTGGTCGCCCTTCACCACCCCCTCCTGAGCTAGCCCTGCAGCATCAAACCCATGCCCCGAAAGAAGTTCTCGTCCTAAAATCGGCCTGGCTTGGCCAACGTGCCACAACCTGTGCTTTCGCAAGAGGCAAGGGAGCGTCCCGGAATAAGCGTTGCTTTTCCAACAGGCATATTTCACGCCATTGGTGAGGTCCCACACAAGTCCTGGAGGATCCCCATCATGAGTGGCACCGGCCGCAGGGCTAGTTGCTCTCTCAAGCCTCAATGAACTCAAAAGTAATGGAAAATGGACGATGATTTGGGACAAGGGCCAAGGGTGAGTTGGCGACAAACAATTTGATTGGTTGTAAAACTGTTTGGCTGTCACCCAGTCAAGAGACACCCACAAATGTAAGTACAGGAGATCTTGCTCCCTCGCAGGCAAGCACTTGCTCCACTCATTCCCGTACATCTCCAGGAGCTGCTTCGGAGGTGGCACCTACTGCAGGCCAACCGGCCAAACAAAGAAAATTTATCATTTACCTCGCCGGTGGATATAATATTATTTGATTTGATCCGTTTTTGTCTTCCCGGCCGGACCTACTAATTGTAAAATGGCTGGGTTAGTGGTTGGCCTCTTCCTATGGGGATGGGGGCCACGGGGGGGGGGGCGGGGGGCAAGAGGCCCATAGAGCTGTGCCCAACGAAGCCTGATCAGCTGCACATACCTTCTGTGTTAAAAGTTAATTTCCTGGTGGTCCCGGGTCTAACTAAAGCAATTTTGTGGTGTAAAGAACAATTGGCCAGCCTTTGCATGGGATTGAATTCCGCAGTCATTCACTATTCATTATTCGTTGTATCTCGTTCAATTTAAACTGTTAACCGTAACCTTCGTTGGAATGGGGCCCGGCCTTTGTTTTACCTAGGGCGTGCTAGGGCAATCTTGTTCACCTAGGTTGCCGCGCGGCATGTGGCATTCAGACCAAACAAACTATACTAGAATCGGCCAGCCTTTGCATCGGTTCGAATTCTGCAGTCACGCACATTCGTTTTTTCTTGTTCAATTTGATAATTTGACCTTCGTTGGAATTGGGCGGCCTTTGTTTTACCTAGGGCATGCTAGGGCTAGGGCCATCCTTTTCACCTAGGTTGCCGTGCAGCGTGTGGCATTCAGACCTAACCTAACCAAACTGACCTAACCAAACAAACCATATCCCGAGCGTGTTTGTGTGTGTTGCGCTGAACTGCTGAACGAACAAACCGCCGTTGAGTGGAGTCAACAGACCTGAAAGTGGCCGCGCGCGCATGTCCAGCCTCCTCCCCCAACCTTGCAGAAACAGCCTGCTTTGCTGCCTGGTGCTCTTGGAAGCACTTGGGCCAACTCTGACCATTTTCCATGCTCTCCAGGATTTTGGCATCTGAGAGCCGTCGATGTTTAAGCTTGTTGAAGAATTCCCTCACCCTGGAATCTGAATTTGGGAGCATGAGCCCTTGACCCTGACTGGACTCAAATATCATAATCCCGAGTCGAGTCGAGTCTAAGTCTAAGTTCAGAGTCCGAAGCCTAAAGTCCAAATTCAGGTCACTGTTGCAAACCAAGAGTCTTGTGAAATCTCCTTTCAATGACAAACGCGAAATCTCCTTGCAAAAGGGATTCCAACAACTTGGACTTGGAGTGACTGACTGCTGACTGCTGACGTACTTGCTTACTGCCCGCCCTCTCCCCTCCTTCAACCAGGAGGCCCATTGGTCAGCGATAGTCTCTTGGGCGCTGATGCTCTCAGCCAGATCAACTTGCACCGGGTCCAAGGCTATGATAAACAAACGGGTACGACTTTGAGGAACCCCCCAGCTTGCTGAATTCGTGAAGAATGCTTGCGCCAAATACGAAAGCTTCTGTAAAGAGCTGACCACAACCTCTGCTGTGAGCTTTTTGGCGATGTTCTCCAGCAATACATAGGCCTTTTGTGACACAGGTTTGTGACACAGGTTTGTTCCACAGGAAGGACGGACTGAGACCTCGACAGGACGTTTGGTCTCAATGTACCGGAGTGAAGCTGCCAAAGTACGGGATGACATACCAGACCTCCACCGAAATCTTTAACAAAACAAAACAAAACAACAAAAACAAAACACTGTAGTTAAACAGCAGTGGGCACAGTCAAGGTCTGATTTGATGATCTGGGCCGCGCACTTCTCTGTGATGGTGAGGCACAATTCTTTGCGGGAATTGTTCATGCCAGATAAATCCTGGAGCAAGCAAAATCAAAGCCCTGGACTTGAGACTAATACTATTACTTGCAGCACTCCTGGCACTCGAAGCCGCCCGTATACAGGTGCACAACAGGGACTTTGACCTTTTGGCCTGACAGCCAATCAAGCCCTTCTGAAGCATCTCTGGCCTCAACAAGGACATAAGAACACAGAAGGCTGCGGCTGGAGGGAGTCGCAATGATCAATGAACCATGCCGCCATACAGTAACTGGGGCACAAACCAAAACGTCATCGTAGATGACTTGCGGCGGCGGCTTGCAATTTAGCATCATCATGTTCTTCTGGTGCTCCATTGTGACCTTGTGTCACTTACCACTTGACGAACTGACAGCTATCCAAAGCGCCACTCTGCAAACACCCAACCCCCCGCCTCCTTGAGCTCTCCCAAGATGGCGCACAGTCCAAATGACGGAGAATCTATGCCGGAGCAATCCGAGCCATACAACAACTTAGACCCGCGTGGAAAATTCGTCCGCAATTCCTTCCCCAAGACGGTGAAAATATTTGCCACCCAATCTGATGGAGACGGCGTAGCTTCATCAACCTGCAACGACTCTCACACCAAACAGCAGCCAGCAAAGCAGTAGCCATCAGCGCGTTAACACTCACAGGCTCGCAGAGAAAATCTGGAATCTGGAATATTGAATTCTGAACTCTGAATGCAAAGTATCCTATGTACTGAGGCCTGAGCAGGAGGTGGTTTTGGCTCTTCGGGCCCTAACGAGGCAGCAGATGTCTTTGTTGTCAACCGCCTCCTCACAGGTTTTGGCGGACCTGGCAAGTGGGCAAACGGAGCCTCAATCTGCTCTCCGTTTGTCAGTTGGGAGTTGGGATGGTTGGGTTTTGGTGATCGGTAATGTAATGTCTGACTGACAATATCAGTATCAGTATCAGTATGACTCACTCTGTTTGAGTGAGGCAAAAGTGGAGTCTGGTCACCCAGAGTCAGAGGCAGAGGCAACTGCTGAGTCCCGGGCATATGTCCGCCTCCATCGCCTCTTTAATCGGGTCGTTCAAGGCAGACGCCCCTGACATTTGCCTGGCCTCAGACATGTGAGATTGGTTGCGGACTTGTAGAGCCACAGTTTGGAAACTCAACTCAGACATTGGCAAAAGCACATTGGCGGACATCCTCACGGATAGCATCTTCCAGTGCCATTGATGTCAGCTCTAGCTGCTGCAGCCCCAGGTCAGAATCAGATGGCCCAGGCCCAGGCCACGACTCTGAACGGCCAAAGTTTGCCGCATTCAAGCCATCTTGTGGCTGATGCTGGAGGTGTTTCTCTGAAGCCACACACCCCACTGCCGCTGACCCCACCGCCACACTATCGAAAAGGAAGTCAAGTGGGTCACGGTCACGGTCAATCCCAGGCTCAGTCTGAGTCTCAGCAGGTGGCCCGGGCCCAGGCAAGTC